GTTACTTAACTCCTTGGGTATTCTTCATTTCTCTAAAATTTTTCTAAGATTTTTATCACCTTTTTTATAGGTCTGGAATGCATTTTTATGTATGTATTCAGTGGCAATGTAGTATGGTGGTTAAGATCACAGTCTCTGGTTCTTGTTACCAGTATGACCTTTGACAAATTACTTAACATTTCTGTGCTTCAGTTTTCCCATAAAGTGGAGTGATACTAAGTTCTGTCTCTAATATAGTAATGAAGCTTAAATGAATGATTGATATTTAGAAAATCTTTGTAATAGTATCTGATACATGGACACATAAATTGTCTGCCATTAATATGTTGTGTGTAGACATTGGAATTTTTCTCATTGTTCCACATGAACAACCAATTGTTGTGGTATTATTTTTTGAATAGTTCATTCTTTTTTAAAAAGTGATTTAAAATATCATTGCTATTATATATTAAATCTCAAGTACCTGTGGTTTTTGTTTTTAGGCTTTAAGACCTGATTTGTGGCTCTTTTAATCCACCACTCCTGAACATAGTGTCTTATACCATAGTTTTATGAGTGAAGTTTCTCTACTTTGTTTTTAAAGCATCAGCATTTTACTAGGTGATATAACAGAGATTGTTAAATTACAGTGTTTCTAGTTCTTGATTCTAAAGCTTTAAAAATTATTATTATGATACATAACTACATTTATCTTGGGGAGTTGGTATATATATTCCTATCACATCTTGATCATTTACTTTTTGTTTTTAAGGTAGGGTCTTGCAATATAGCCCAGGCTGGTCTCAAACTGGCAGCAGGTCCTCCTGTCTCACCCTTTCACGTGCTGGAATTACAGGCATGTGCCATCACACCTGGTTTACATCTTGATAATATTTGAGTCTTTTTGGTGAACAAAATTACTTTTGCTTCTTCAAGTAATTAAAAAAATTCATCAGAGTTTACAAAACCCATGTTTGCTACTGAGTTTTACCATGAAGACACTAACTGACTAGTGTTAGAGTGTAGAATATTTGGTCTCATCAATACCTTAACCAGTGGATGTTTTTAGAAATTATATAATCCAGAGGTTGATTCTGTCTACTCACTGACATGATTGAATAGAAACATTGTAAAGAGAGAGATCTTTGTTCTACAGTTCATAAATTGTACCCTGAGGTATCTCCAGCTACTTCAGAAAAGGGGCAGAGGAGAGTTTCACTTTCTAGAATGCATAGCAACATCTGTTGGACATGTCAAACTTCTAGCCCAAGGTAGTTTGAGATAGTTTTGCTTGTGCTGCCTGTTGTGTTTCACTGTTGTGGTAGTTTTATGAAACTGGACTTTTGGTGACTTGCCTAGATAAAAAGCAGCAGCCATGCAAAAATTATGGAATCGTACATGGCAATGTCTAACCTAATCTCAAAGTTTGAGAAGTTGTGTAATGCCCAATAGATGCACATACCACATAATAACAAATTGTGATTATTTAAAAATGAAGTTAATTTTTTTCAGTTTGTGTATTGTTTTCAAAAGATTATTGATTTCTTGAGATGTAAATACTTATTTGAACATAATAAATAAGTGGAACTATTAAGGTATTTCTTTCGGCCTAGAGAATTTTTCTTTTGTGAAAAAACACTACTGATTTGAAGAAAACAAGACATTATAATAGCTAGTAATGATTTAATATCTTCTTGTTTTGAAGTCCCATCAAGCTTTTGTTCTTCTATCTCCATCGGTTTTATCATGTTGTATCTTACTGGATTTTATTATATGTGATAGTATAAACAAAAATTTTTATAGACAAGGAGATAATATAGTAACCATTGTTCGTTTTCTATTAGTTGGTTCTGGATACCCTGTAATACTTTCATTCTCTTGAATGGTTTTACACTGTCTTGTTATGTTTGATGCTATAGTATATGAAGGTATACTCAAATATTTCAAGGAAAGAGACAATATGGTAGCTACTGTTATGTCGAGTTGTCTTGTGGTGAAACACTATGTTGCTTAAATTGTGCTGTTATCTCCTCTTTTATCTTAATCTTTTTTTAAAATAAAAAAAATCTAGACAAAATGAAACACTACTGAGAATAGAAACACCAGGAGCCAAAAAAGTTTGAAATCTCTCTGCTTTAAAAGCAAATTATTGCCAAGCATGGTGGTACTCACCTGTAATCCCAGCACTGGGGAGGTTGAAGCAGGAGGATCCTTGCAAATTCAAGACCAGCCTGGGCTAGGAAATCAGCTCAAGGCCATCCTGAACTGCATAGTGAGACCTGTCTCAAAAAGACCAAAAAATAAATTTATTTATGTTGTCTTTTTTTTTTTTTTTGTACTGGGGATTGAACTCATGACTGCGCACTTGCAAGGCAGGCGCTTATGCCGCTGAACTAAATCCCCAGCCCTATTTATGTTTTCAAAAAGCAAATTATTGCAAATGGCATGGTATGAACCTGAATCTCATCGCTCAGAAGGTTGAGGCAGGAGAGTCACTTCCAGTTCAAGGCCAATCTGGGCTAGTGAATTCAAGACAAGTCTAGAATACATAGCAAGATCCTGTCTTTAACAAAAAGTTAGTACAAGCATTTAAACATTAAGAATATTTGAAGTGCTCTTTAGATAGAGTGTGTGCCATACTTGCTTGTGATAGGGTGGACTAATCTTTCTTGGGCACCAAGGACAGCCAGCATTTGTAAGAAAGTGCTATTTAGCTGTGTTTGAAGGAAGCCCAGGAGTTGTGTGGCAGGACCAGCTGGTGTGAAGACACGACGGGGCCGGGGAGTGACAAGAGAATGAGTGATGTGAGCGGGCTGAGAGATGAGCAAGGCGCAGTTACACAGCGACAGACAGGGAGGTCCACTAAAGGAGTTCATTAGATTTTAAAAGGCAGTGGCAAATGCTGAGAGATTTTAAGTAAAGAAAATATATCTTAGGTCACTGTTCAACTTGGGGAATAAAATATAAAAATAGTATCCATATGTGTTTAATACTATCTTAATTAGTTTGGTGTGGATTTTTTTTATAACATTTTGAAATGCCTTGGTTTTCAAAAGCATTTAAAAGATTTATTGTGAGCATAATTTTATTGTAATGTCTTGAACATACTGATATATACTTTTTACCTCAAATTGGCTGATAATGAACATGGTTTTGAAAAATGGAAAAAAAGGAAGACAGAATGTTAAACTATGAAATATTTGAATTGGTGTAATTACCTTTTAGGTATTTTTTTAAATGGGGAAAATTTTATCCTAAGTTTTTAAAAAACTGTTTTGTTAATATCTATTAAAAAGTTTTTAAAACAATTTGCCTATTTCTACTGCCAGTCTGAAACACATTTGTCTCTTAAATTCCTGTGTTTAGCTCAGGTGGTATAATAAAGAGATAAGTTATACAGGAGAGATAGAAAGTTTATCTCTCATTTATGCTTCCCTTTTTCTTATATTTTGATTCATTATAGTTTCAATAAGTTAATGCAGTATAAAATTTTTAATAGTAATGATAGAATAACTTCAGGTTATTTTTGAAAAATTTCTAAAATTATTTTCAAGAGTTTCAAAAATTAACAAATGCATTTCATAGTCATCAAATGGGGACGGAGACCTGAAACCCTTTTCCAAGACCCCATTGGGGCATGAGAGAAGGGGAATGGTTACTCTGATAAGAATTGGAATTTGCTTGTTGTAAGTACCGGGAAGTTTTTAAGCAATTGAATATTATTTCCTTTCTCTGCTAGTGTGTTTCATATTTATTTAGAACACTCATAATATAGAATTAGTGCCTCCCTGAAATCCATACTTAAATAAATTATAAATAGGTATTTGAAAAGAAGTCTTCGTGTCATTTATCGAACCAGGCTTCCCTGATGGAGATACCTGATTAATGGCTTGAGTTTGTTCACAGGCAAATTGGTTAATAAGAAACGTTTACATTGGAAAGCTTTCTGTGACTGAGATACAAAATTTGTAGCAAAAAATTCTTTAAGTTTTGTTCATACTTTGTTCAAAGAACTGATGAGAGACTTAGGAAAAGTAAACTGATCCCATCTGTGATCTTTTCATCAGAATGAATTCTAGGGCTGGTGATTCAGCTCAGCAGCTGAAGTGTTTGCCTGATAAGTGAGAGGTTGTGAGTTTGATCACCAATACCAAAACAAAAGAATTCTAGATAAAATTTAAATGTAAAAAATTAAACTATAAAACTAATAGGAAAAAACAAAGCTATTTTTTAAAAAATAATTTTAGGATAAAGACGACCTTTCTAAATGGAACACATTTATTTTTTTATTTTTTATTTATTTATTTTTTTTTTGGTCTTTTTCCTTTTTATCGGTACCGGGGATCGAACTCACAACTGTCTGCTTGCAAGGCAGGTGCTTAGCCGCTGAGCTAAATCCCCAGCCCCAACACATTTAATTTTATATAGTATAAATATAATATAATATAATTTATTTTCTTATAACAAAAATTGCATAATCAAATAGAGAAAAGAATATTTGCAAGACATAATAACTATGACCAAAAAAAAATGACCAAAGACTAAAGTCAATAGCATGACTAATCTGCAAGGAAAATGGGTAAAATGTATGCAACAGTGTATTTATGAACAGAATACACACAGCTAATAAACATAAAAAGATACCTTACAAACAAAAATTATTTCATTTTTGTGTGTCTTTGTTCTGTAGACATTATTTTTCAGTACAGTCATTTTAAATATTTCTAAACCCAGTTGTGGTATTTGAATTAGAATTTTCATTAGATATTATAACAAGCTGAACTTTTGTAAATTGTGTGTGTGTGTGTGTGTGTGTGTGTGTGTGTGGTCAAAATGAGTCAAGTTTTGGTTTCTTAGTAAAAAATAAGTTTTATTAGAGTTTCATAGTAAGGTAGTTGTACATATTTAGGTACCATGCCCAAAGAGCATAATCATTTGAGAATAATTTTGGACTTCTTACAGAAACAATAGAAGGATGTTTTGCTTAACTTTATTGTTTTGTTTTGTTTGGTTTTTTGTAGGTGTCGGTGTTCGAACATTTACTCCATTTTATTTTCTGGTGGAGCCGGTGGATACGCTCTCAATTAGAGGCTCTTCTGTTATATTAAATTGTTCAGCATATTCTGAACCTTCTCCAAAAATTGAATGGAAAAAAGATGGCACTTTCTTAAACTTAGTATCAGATGATCGACGCCAGCTTCTCCCAGATGGATCTTTATTTATTAGCAATGTGGTGCATTCCAAACACAATAAACCTGATGAAGGCTACTATCAGTGTGTGGCCACTGTTGATAGCCTTGGAACTATTGTTAGTAGAACAGCCAAGCTTACTGTAGCAGGTAAGTTTTGTTAAGTGATATACATGCTTTTTCAAATTATTATCAAGGGTAAATTGAAAAAAAAAAGCAATATTGTGCCACATATGGTGACAATCCTAGCTATTGAGAAAACTGAGGCAGGAATATTGCAAGTTTGAGGCCAACCTAGGTCATTTAGAAAGAGTCTCCTTTTACAAAGGAGTGGGGATGTAGCTCAGTGGTAGAACACTTGCGTAGCATGTGTGAGATCCTGCTTTCTTCAATCCCTGTACCGCACACCCACACAAAAAGGCAGTATTATTTCAGAGTTTTCATTTCATTAGTGACAATAGATGATTTAACAGGTGTCCACTGTGCATGCACTACATGTATCAGCCTTTGCTAGAGCTTGCTCAGTACTGTATGGAATAAAGTAGCATTGCACTTCTTCACTTGTCTCATGGCTTAAAAGTTACTATCAGAGGTACTGAGCAACTTTTTATCTTTCTCTCTTTAGCTATGGCAAAGGAAGTTATATATTAGATGAGTTTGATGGTTTTATCCTACCTAGGAAAACCATTTAATAGGGTTTTGTAAAACTTACAATAAAGAAGAAAAACTTAGATCTCCTGGCAAATTTTTTTCATTTTCTTCTTTTTTCTTCCCTTCTCCTTATCCATGCTCTATGTTTTTTTCAATGTGTTATAAATACATTAGTATAATGGCTTCCTCTGCAGTGTAGTTTAGGCCAGGCTTCTGTTTATCATTATGTTCTTAAATATCTCTTATCTGGGCTTTTATGACTTTTTCCTATAAGCTCTGCTCTGCATCCTATTACTAAATCCTTGAATTCTGTCTCCTAATTTCTGTATTGATCTACTTCTCCCTGAGATTCCTGGACTTCTCGTGATAGCTTTATACCTTCTGTTTGCCACCTTATTCTTCCCTTCTATCTGGTCTCCACACTGGTCAGAGTAGTCTTTTTTTTTTTACCCTTCAGTAGTTTATTGGTTTTCTAGTAACACTGTCAACTTAATATATAAACTCTTTAATCAGCCTTTTGATTCCTTTTGTGAACTCATGCCCACTTTGGCAGTTTTATTTCTTTTCGCTTCAGCCCCCACTCCCATCATCACTTCCCTCACCAGTTTTAGTAGTGGCTATACCGTGTGGTATGGGTTCTCATTTATTTTCATTAATTCTGTCCTTTATCTTTTCCTCTTTTTCTTCTTCACTAGGCTTGTTCATACTTCATTTCATTCTCATTTTCTTTAAGAAGGATTTTGGTGGTGGAGGTGGGGTTACCAGGGATTGAACTCACAACCTTGCGCTGAGCTAAATCCCTGACCCTCAAGAAGGATTTTTGACTGAATGTCTTAGTAAAGAGGCAATTTTAATACAAGAAAATACATTTGTATAGTAATTACAAAGAAGTTTTTGGGCTTTTTTGTTTTGTTTTGTGTTGATACTGGGTATCAAACTCACAATCTCACACTTTCCAGGTAAACACTATGCCACTGGGCTATATTCCCAGCCCTACAAAGAGTTTTATAGAAGAGTTATATAATCCACTGTTAGCTTGGGTAACCAGAGGAAGTAACATCTAAGCTAAGTGATGAATAAAGTGCTTTAGAATAGTTACAGAGTATGCATTCTGTAGAGGTATTATGATTTACTCAGAGTCACTTGTGTTGAACATTTACATGGCTTAAGATTTTTGGCAATACTACCTTGAAGTACTTCTTGCAAATGTTTATTACTGTAAAAGTATCAGAATTGGAATTGCTAGCTCATAGGATACCGTGTGTGTGTGTGTGTGTGTGTGTGTGTGTGTGTGAGAGAGAGAGAGAGAGAGAGAGAGAGAGAGAGAGAGAGAAAGAGACAGAGAGACAAAGATTGATTTTAAAAGATACTATTTAGGGACTGGAGATTTAGCTCAGCAGCGTAAGCACCTGCCTAGCAAGCACAAGGTTGTGAGTTCAATCCTATGTAACAGCAACAAATAGATACTAGTTTATCATTTCCTAAAATGTTAACTATATGACCCAGCAGTTCTACCCCAGGAATCTGCCCAAGAAAAATGAGAACTATCCACACAACTATTTGCACATGATTGTTCATAACAATATTGTTTATAATTGACAAGTGGAAATAATGTAAATGTCCACCAAGTGATTGATAGGCAAACTCATCAGTGGAATATTCTTCATCAGTAGAATATTCTTTAACAGTAAGAAAGGAGTGAAGTCCTTATGTGTCAACATGGATCAACTGGAAAAACATGCATAGTTAAAGAAACCAGTCATAGATGACCATACACTGTATGTCACATATATGTACAGAATAGGTATATATGTAGAGAAAGAAAGTAGATTAAGGGTTTTTTTTAGGGCTAAAGACCTGGGGATAGGGATAGTATAGGAAATGGGGAACAATCTTTCTTTGGGAGATGATAAAAAGGTTCTGAAATTAGGTTATTGGGATGGTTATATAAATCTGTTCATATATTAAAAATCATTAAGTTGTATGCTTTAAACATTGACCTTTATGACATATAAATTATATCTCAATAAAACTTTTTTTTTTTAAAGTAAAAGATACTGCCAGCTGGACATGATGGCACATACCTCTAATCCCAACACTCTGGAGGCTAAGGCAGCAGGATCTTCAAGAATTTAAGGCCAGGGGCTGGGGATTTAGCTCAGCGGCATAAGCGTCTGCCTTGCAAGCAGGCAGTCATGAGTTCAATCCCTGGTACCGATAAAAACGAAAAAGACAAAAAAAAAAAAAAAAAAAAAGTATTTAAGGCCAGCCTGGCTACATAGTGAGTTTTAATCAGTAAGACCAGTGTGAATTATATAATGAGACCCTGTCCCAAAAAAAAAAAATCATCTACATAAACAAGCAAAAAAGATATTGCCAAATTACCATTTAAAAAAATTTTAGAAACCTGTTTTAGGTTTTTGGTTGTAAATAGTAGAAATCGATTACAGCCAAGTCCAGAGAGCAGGAAAATTTTGAAAGAACATTAATCATATAGCTTACAGGAATAAATAGGCAGTTTTTCTTTTCTTTTTTTCTTTTTTCTTTTTCTTTCTTTCTTTCTTTTTTTTTTTTTTCCTTGCATTACCCTGATTTCCTGCCTGGAGATTAGTCTGACTATGCCTAAAAGTAGGGGGGACTGGGCTAGTCTAAATACAGACATTGTTTACCCCCTATTGTCAACTCCAGCTTACTCCCACTGCCTTTTTCCTCTTGCAGTTCTCCAGAGGCAGGACAACTGCCTTCCCTCTTGTGAGCACGAGAAGCTGCCATGTTCTCTGCCTCCATGTGACAGTTACTAGTGTCTCCATCTGCTTTCCCTATTCAGCCACTTTCTGCTTGCCAGCTCCCCAGAAATTTCTTGCTTTCCAACTCCCCATTTGTTGTTGTGGGTTTGCACTTTTAAAAATTATTCATTTTCATGAGACCTTAGAAGGGAATATTTTTTGGTCATTAAAAAATAGAACCAATTCTTTGTTTTATTTAAGATTCTTTCCCCCAACTTCATTAGATTTTATGCTTCATGTTAATCTTCCCTTGATTTTCTGGTTTTTAAAAAGTAGATATTTGGATTATTTTCTTTCCTTCAAAAATCATCTTGAAATAAAAAGTAAGGAAAAATTTATAGCAGGGTTAGGAAACTTATGTGTTATATATATTTGCATTTGGACTAATTCACTGTCATAAAACTAGAAAATCTGAAGTTTCTCATAATTTGTTTCTTTTTAAAAGAAGGGATAGTCTTTTTAAAAAATTAGTCTTTTAAAAAAAATCTATTTTATTCTAAAGAAAAAATTTCAAAACAATTAGGGGGTAATAATGGTACATACATTGTGTATTGTTATCTTCAAATCAGTTACTCAATACAAGATATCTGCATTTAATTGTCTGAACAATAATAGCACAAACCTTTCTCTTCAGTGATCTCAGAGAAATCAGTATGTAAGTCTTAGTCTTTTTTTTTTGGTAGTAGGACTAGTTATCTGTAAAGTAGCTATTTTTCCTCCTCCAGTTATTTGTTAATGTCAGTATAAACTAACAGATTCTTTTTTGATGAGTTATAATGTAGAAATACCATTATCCCAGAGTTAGCCAAAAGAAACTCCCATTTTTGGAACCCACTTTTTTTTTTTTAAATGTATTCATTGTTCTTCAAATGGTTCCGTACTTTATGGCATAAAAATCACATAAAGAATCCAGTTTTTAAAAAAACACCTTGTGTAGCATGTTTTTTGTATATTCCATTCCTAGACTCAGCCATTTCTACAAAAAGTACTGGCTTGTTGTAATGGATAATTGGTATTTAGAAATCAAGATAAAGTCATCAGATGTACCTGTTAGAATGATATTGTACCTCTTAGAATGTACCTATTAGATGTACCTATTAGAATGATATTGATTCTAGGCTTGGGAATTGGTAATGTAGGCGGGGGGAGTGTATATGTAGGAGTATTAATATGTAGGGAATGGGTCTATATGTGTGTGTGTATGTACTAAATACTTTTCTACTACCTTTATACATATTTATATATCTACAGTTATATAAAGCTCTAAGTTTATACTAATACCTTCATTGTGGGCCAGTACCATGGAATTTTTCCTACCCTGTATCTTTATCTTTTTCCATATTTGTACCTGTGTGTGTGTGTGTGTTGGGTTTTTTGTTTTGTTTTGTTTTTGTTTTTTTAGAACCAGGGATTGAACTCAAGACCTTGTGCTTGCCAGCCAGGCACTTGTGCTACTGAGCTGAGTCCCTAGCCCATGCACCTTACTTTTTCAACTGTGAGGAATCTGACTCCAATTATCCTTAGTATACGCTCTGTATTCCTGTATGAAGCAAATTTCCTAACCCGTGGATCTTCTTCTCAACTCTCATTCATCGTATATTGTGACTCATGAATTGACTTGCTCTTGACCCCCATGACTACATTTATAAGAGTATTTACTGACTTTTTTCCCTCTTGTTTTCTCTTATTGTCCAGGTCTTCCAAGATTTACCAGCCAGCCAGAACCTTCTTCTGTTTATGCTGGGAACAGTGCAGTTTTAAATTGTGAAGTTAATGCAGACTTGGTTCCATTTGTGAGGTGGGAACAGAACAGACAGCCCCTGCTCCTGGATGATAGAATTATCAGGCTTCCTAGTGGGACACTGGTGATCAGCAATGTGACTGAAGGAGATGGGGGACTGTATCGCTGCTTAGTTGAAAGTGGTGGGCCACCAAAGTATAGTGATGAAGCTGAATTGAAGGTTCTTCCAGGTATTAACTGATGATTTTATGTTTATTAATGAGTAACAACTGTTTGTTTTTTGAAAATAAGCATTTTATATTTGATGTAACGTATTCTTGTCAGCACAAAGAATCTTAGCTTTTTACAGGGATAAAGACAAGAAAGTATGCCAGAATGACCTGCTCTTTAATGAATGTATTATTAAAATTTTGTCAGATAATGAAGTACATTTAATATCAAATGGTGTTCTTCTTGATCAGAGTACTGTCCACTGCTTTTGTTGAGCCTTTGTCTTCCAATCGCCTCACTCAGGTTAATTTTATAAGGAATGAGTCAGTTGGTAACTCTTAATTACAACTGTGGATATACTGGCATGTGAGAGTGTTTGGATTTCCATGTTTCTCCTCGTTTTAATATAAACTCAGCTGTTCTTTCATTCTATTTTTACTGTTTCTGTCCCTACTGGCCTTTCTCACAATTGGTTTTGTGTATTTTTTTTTTCTCTCCATACTTAATAACTTCCGCTCACTTGTAACTTATCACAATCCCTCTACCCTTCTGAAGACCTTTGAGCTTTGTTTCCCACTGCTGAGTACCTGATATTTTCCATATTTCTCATTCAAATTCTGCTGTGGAGTTTTGGGAAGGACGTTGTTTTGGATTGTGTTAAGAGGCAAAGCAAGGTGATATCAGTCAGAGAAGCCTGCTTTTTTGGTAGTTACAGAGTTAGGAGCAGATTGTCAGTCTTAAAGGTGAACAACTCTGCTGTTGATTGGGTGACTTTTATTAGCACCACACCCTAACCAACTGAACTAACTGGCTGCATGATTGGCTGATTTTTAAAGTCTGAGTTGTCATTTCAAAGACACATTCACTGAAATAGTGAATTGTTATTCATCTATTAGGTGGTATTTACTTGTTACCATGGCTATAAAACTGTCATTCTGTAGTAAGCATTGGGTAGACAAAAGCCAGTTCTGGTGGTCATTACCATGGCTATATAACATCTTTCCTCAAGAGTGTAGGGACAGGAGTCACAGTTCTCTGCCTGTAAATCGCCGCCTTTTTCTCAAGAGTCAGCCTTAAGTGAATATCAAGTAGAGAATGTCTATCTTTTACCTATAAGAGTCTGACCTTGTCCTCTGCTCACAAAAAGACAGCTCTCTATAAAGTGAACACATATTAATTCTAATATCTGAATAGGAAGGAGATGCAAAGTTACAGTGAAAAGCTAGATGGTTGCTCATTATGAAATAAAAAAATTGACAGATTAAAGAGATGAGTCTCAGAAAGATTTTCAGAAATAACATAAAAATATAAGGAAGGATAGAAGACCTCTTATATTCTTATATCCCTGTGAGTGGGGAGGTTGGCATGGGTCCTGAACTTGCTTATGTCTCCACTGTATGTACCACTGATGTGCCAATATACTTTATCTTATCTTCTAAATTAAAGGACATTGATATCAAATCTCCTTCTCTTGACCAGTAAGTAACCAGAAAACAGGAGTTATTATAAAGACAATGCTGTGCATAAAGAAATTATGTGAGAAATATCTGCAATTTAAATGGAATTTTCTTGGGTTACTTGTGCCACACAGACTAAAAGGAATTAGCAGTTTCTCATGATTTAAGTAGTAAATTGCTTTGTCTTTTAATCTTTGTCTTTCATTTAAATTCTTCTTAGATCTAGAGGAAACAGCAAACTTAGTGTTTTTGAAACAGCCTTCTTCCTTAGTCAGAGTCATTGGTCAGAGTGCAGTGTTGCCATGTGTTGCTTCAGGATTTCCTGCTCCAGCTATTAGATGGATGAAAAATGAGGAGTTACTCAACATGGAAAGGTAACTGTTGTCTCCCAAAAAGCCTTTTTCAGTCTTAACTCGAGACTTGGTCTATTCCTATTTGGAACTATTAACTAATAACAAGTGATTATTTAAGCACATTATAATGTTCATATGTCATCCTTGCCGTATATAAGCTGTATAAAGAAAAAACACGATTTCAAGATGCTGAAAAATAGTCATTCAGTTTGTTCCTTCTGCAGCTCAGCTTATGGTTTTAGGATCTCCTTTCCTAAATTGTTGCAAGAGCTTCCAGCCCTGAGTAGTCTGAGTTGTCTCTCATTTTTACATGCATCTCAGTGGTTTTTTTCCTTTGTTCAAACAGTATAAGAAGATGTATTTCTCATCCTTTTGTTTTTGTCTTGTAAAATCTTTCAGTTCTGCATCATATCATCTGCCCCCCACATTTCTTTTCTTATATTTGAATAGAATACTTTGCTGAGTTGTAATCTCATAAAAGAACTGGAATGATATTGATGGTGGCAATAGGTAAATATGTTTTTTTTGTTTCCAAAATAGAGTTATTGTATGCATTGTAGGATGTTCACTGGGATCTCTGGCCTCTGTTCAAAAGATGTCAAAAGTACTTCTAACTTGTGATGACAAGGGTAAGACAGAATTACCCCCAGCAAAGGATCACTCTCATAGAGCAGTGATCCAATGAAAATATAACACAAGCCACTTTAATAAATTGGAGTTTTCTGGTGCTAACACTAAAAAATGAGAATTGTGCATGCACTGTTCAATACAACAGGAATATTTTGTGTGATGTACCGTTTAGGTTGAAATGTATTTCTGCTCAAACAATAAAATTGTGCTGAGTAAAAGATATTTTATACCACTTTACCTTGTAGGTAAAAATTAAAATTAAATACACTTAGTTCCTCAGTCATACTGGCCACAACAGCACATGTTACTAGCTCCATATGATTAGTGGCTGTTGAGTTGAACAGAGCAGATCTAGCATTTCCTTCTGAGGTAATAAAAAGAGAGTGGCACAAGCCATGTGTGGCCCAGGAAGAGACAAGTCAGACCTCCCAAGAACTGGCCTCCCTGGGACTGGCAGGAGCCCAACAAGCCAACTAGCCAGGCTTTTTGGTAAGCTTTGCAAGCCATGTGGAGCCCAGGAAGAGAATAGTCAGATAGTGCCTCCCATGAGCCTGCTGGAGTGCAGACTGAGAATCACACCCCCCCCCCCCCAACTCTCTTTTGGAAGACAGGCTGAGTTGATAGCAACTCAGATACCTGAGGTACCCAAAAAGCAACTGTATGCTTTTGTATTGTTTGGTTGACTTTGCAAGCCTGTGGCCAGTCTGAGTGAGCATCTTTTGGGAGGATAACAGGATGCAATACAGCAAATATGGGGGATTTCTTTCTATCTTGTTTTTGAAGTCCAATATTGTTCTCACTGTTTTGTTCTGATTAACTGTTTTGCTTTATTCAGTGTTCTGTTTTGATCGATTTTATTCTGTTTTGGTTTGGTTTGATTTTGCTATATCTGTTATTATGAAAATAACAAAATATACTATGGTAGCCATTGTTGTCATCCTATTACCCCGCTTCAAAGTTCTATACCAGTTTCACTGCTTTGGTTTGATTGGCTTTACTCTATTTTGTTGAATTTTATTGTCTTTCAAATAAAAAAAGTTTAAAAAAAAAAAGGGAAAAGAGTACACAGTCTTAATTTGCGTAGTTCAGTAGCCAAGATATGGAGAGGAGTATGGTCTCGTTGGCCTGGTCTCTCAGTAGTCAGTGGCAATGATGCAGTACAGTGTGACATATTCCATTAGTGTAACTGATGGAATCACCCCCACATCACTTGAGTTCTTTCTCAGTACACATCTATACACAAAAGTACTTGTGTCCATATTTTGCTTTCTCTCTTTCTTCCTACTTGTTTTATCACATAAATATTATGTAAAGGATTTAGTAGAGTTCAAGGAAAAAAAAAATTTTTTTTTTTTTTTGTACCAGGGAGTGAACTCACAACCTTGTGCTTGCCAGGCAGGCACTTATACTGTTGAGCTAAAACCCTGGCCCCAAGGAAATTTTTTTTTAAGAATTTGTTGTCAGAGTGAAAATGTTCAAAGTATGTGCATATACAAATTACCAAAGTAATAGCCATTAGTTTGCATAACCAGTAAAAAATTAGTGAAGTAAATAAATAACAGCTCACCTTATTTATTTATTTATTTATTTATTTATTTATTTATGTATTTAGGTACCAGGAATCAAACTCAGAACCTTGTACTTGCCAGTCATGTGCTATGTCCCTGAGCTCTATCCTCGGCCCAATTGCAGCTCCCTTACCCCACCCTTTTTTTTTTTTTTTTTTTTTTTTTTTTTTTTTTTTTGCTGAAACAAATATGAAGAGCTTTAAAAGAGCAGGTCAAAATTTCAAGCTCTTACAGCAGAAATTTTTATTGTTAGGACAAAGTCTTTATCAAGAAAGCCTGAATAGATTTTTTTAAAACTTTGACATTGTGCCATCTTAGAATATTCTGAATATATAAGGAGGATGTAAATTTATTTTTGTATAAGAAAGGTGAGGATTTCTGTTATATCCATTTGTTTAATAATTACTGGGAAGTTTGAGGATTTAGCTCAGTGGCATAAGTGCCTGTCTGACAAATGTAAGGTCGTAAGTTCGATCTCCAATACCAAAAAAAAAATTATTGGGGAAATAATTATTGACTATTGATGTAAGGAACTGTTCTAGATACAAGGAATAGAGTAATGAATCAAATAGAATTTTTTATTCTTACAAGGCTTTCATTCTAGTTGGGAAAAACTAGATAATAAATATATATATGACGTGTCTATAGTATGTGAAGAGCATAAGAATATTACAGGAATCGCAAGAGAAGTAGAGGTGAAATTGCTATTTTTATATCGAATATTAGGGAATTATTCTCTTAGTGGAGTGATTCTTGGTCTGGGGTTTGAATGAGCCAGTTACACAAATCATAGTAGAAAACATTTATGTTCCAAAACATCCAAATTTTCAGAGATATTTTTGAGAACAGGTGATTTTTTAAAATTAAATATGGCTGTATCATGGTTAATAATATTGTAAATTTTGAAGATAATTCAGACAGTTTTCCATATAAACCCTATGTGTTCAGAGACATACCTCTCATGTCCAGTATGTATCATTCACCACACTTACTTTGTCGCATATTGTTCCTTTTTTTTCAGTGTTGGAGTTCTTAAGGGCTTGCCTTTTGACTGTGAGCATAAACAAGTTAGATGAATTCTGCAAAGCAAATGGACATTCTTCCTCCTAGGCTTTTTTTGAAGAGAGTGAAATCAATTCCATTTAGAAAGATTGCTACTGTGTAGCACTCAGTGATGCCAAATATCAGACTTAGCAAATGTCAGGAATATTTTTAAAATAATTATTAAACTATTGCACTTTCAAAAGCTGGTATCACATGTATACATTGTTGATTTCTCACCTGAGATCAGAGAACATTGTTTCTCTCTTAAGCTTAACAGTGATTTTCTCCAAGTATAAAACTTTAATTTAAAAAAATATTTTGTGAGGCATTAAAACCCTGTTTTATTTCTATTACTTTTATCCCAGTTATTCTTGGTCTATTCCATTATACGATAACTTGCTTCTCTGTTTCATCACATAAGGTTGGAATTTGAGGGTATGATTAAGCCATCTCAGATAGAAAAATTACTTAATAAAATTTAATCATGACCTTACAGGGTAGTATTTCTTGGAGAAGTCATTAATCCTGATTCTTATTTTCAGCTTTCTCCATCCAGATTTTAATCTTGTTTGTCCGTAAGACCAATGACCTGGATATATGGTGTACTCTGGTTTAAACCAGAGTAGCACTTTATTTACTTAAAATGAAAATTACAAATGGAGCAAATATCACATAGTTATTGCCTCTAATTTTAAGGAATTCTAAATGAAAAACCAAATTATAATCAAAAACTTTTTTTGTTGTTGAGCATAAATACAGTTAATGTGTAACACTTAAGATTTGAAAGAAAAAGTTAGCTTATGATAGCCCACTTTATAGGGGCTTAACATTAAATTATGTATTTAGTATTGTATTTATTGCTATATTTAGCATTTATGTTGGCTATGAAGGCAACTTTTAAAGTGGCAGCTTTAATTATGCACTTGTAGAATTGCTTTCTGTCAAGTTCCTTTGCATGATTGGTTTAATTTTTAATTCTCCAAATTAAACTTGTTCATTTTGTAAAACTCTTATTAGCATATTGATTTTTGATTTCTCAATGTTATAGTATTAATGTTTCTCTAAATAAACATAATGCTTTATAGTATTGAATCAGTATTCATCACCATCATTAGTTGGTGACTGATTTTTGCTCAGTACCACACCCAAGTAGTTGTTCTCCAACAGCTGTCCTGTTCTCTCCCTTCCCTTCATTCCCTCGCTTTCCTATCCAAGCCACCATTAGAAACTGTCTTTCCATGACTTACTGTTTCTGGTGTGACATTTGTCCTCATAATTTTTTCTTTCTGTTAGTATCTCAGCATATAGCTGTGGTGAAATGAGCCTCAGGTGGATTCTTGACTTGAAAACTACCTCATTTCCAAAAAACTGGCCAGAGTAGGGAGACAGGGATGGGCTAGGGGATATGGAATTGACCACAAAAGTAATATCCTTTTAGTAATAACTAGGAGTGCCAGAATTCATTATAAAATTTGATTTGTATTTGTTATAGCCATGAAAAATATAAGGAAAGCAAATTGGTATCAAATTTGGATAATTTTATGTTAATCTGGGTCCATTTGTAGCCATGTCCATAATAATACTGTTGAGATGTTTTCTGTTTTATATGGAGAGTTCACAGGTATTATTTTACTCATACTGATAGGTACCAATATTTTTTGTGCAGCTCTGAAAGATTGGTCTTGCTGGCAGGTGGTAGCCTGGAGATCCGTGATATCATTGAAGATGATGCTGGGACATATTTTTGTATAGCTGATAATGGAAATGAGACCATTGAAGCTCAAGCAGAGCTTATGGTGCAAGGTATGTAAATATATACTGTTTCAATAAAAAATCCTCTGTATTATATGGGTCTGCTGTTTAACATAAATTTGGAAGAGCATAAATCTGAGAAAGGAGTATAGCATAACAGTTAAAATCATAAGTTTTAGACCATACTGCTAGGATACCAATTCTGGGTCTTACATTTCTTAAGTATACAACAGTGGGACATTGACCCACTCTGAATCTCATTTTCCACATCTATAAAATGGAGACAGAGTTAACTTACCTCATTAGGATTGCTTGGAGGATTAAGAGATACCTTATAAAACTCCAGGAATAGCAACTACAATATAAAACTCTGTGTTCGTACTGCTATTTTTACTAGTAGTGGTGGTGGTGGTGGTATGGGGGAGGAGGAGTGTGTGATTTGTGGCATCTGGAAGGTTCTGTTCATCTTCCATGTCTCAAGATGCTTTGTTACAGAAGTTTGTTTTCAGAGCCATGTCTCTCAGAATTCATCTTCCCTTTTTAGATGTATAGGTCACCCCTTTAGGAGTACACAGTGACTCTCCATTTAACTTGATTTGATGATTGAGGTTTATTTTTCTTAGTTCAGTTAATGCTGACAATCACTGACATTATAGTTGTTCTCTTCTCTACATACCTCCGCCATATACCCCTTACAGGTTCTCAGATTTAGAAATCAGGGAAAATAAAGATGAGTTATACATAGCTTTTCTTTATCCTCTATCTCCCCTCCTGTTTTTTGGTATGGAAATGTACCCTCAAAAGAGTATTTGCTCTCTTTCCTATCATTTTACTATACCCTTATTCATCTTCGTTTCAAGTAAAAATCACTAGGCTCTTTTAGATTAATTTTAGGCAAATACAGCAGTGCCTGGATATGCAATAGTGTAGGCTAGCTTGTGGTACTTATTATCAGCTTGCTTCAAATTATATTGCTTTTGATAGAGTATGTTGTGATACATGGTTTGGGGTTGCCAGCAACCTGTTAGTTCTGTTTTATATGAAAATTTATTTCTCTTAGTACATTTTGTGGGTTTCAGTGCTGAGTTTAAGAGTAGGTACATCTCCTACTGCCAGTAGTTACCAGTGTGTTCAAATGTATTTTTCAGAGGAATTGGAGAGCACAGTGCTGAAGTTTCAAAACTGGTGAAGGAATAGGATGCTTATATTCTCTTGCTGTTTGTCGGTGGCTTTGTATCTGAAAATCCAAAAAACCGGCCATGGAATTCATATAAATAAAACATCTGTTAAGCTCAGTCTGTGTTATTGACTAGAGCGAAGGTCGAATATAGGACATAGTGTTGTAGAATGATCAAGTTGGTTTTTCAAGTCTGTGTGGTAAAATTGACTAAGTAGAATATTAGTAAACTCCCATCTTTTTTTGGTCTCTATGTGTTAGTGAATCTTTTCTCTTTGTTTTTCCATTGATAAAAGTCTTACCTAACAGTCTTTTCTGTTTTAATGTCCTGTGCCTCAGTTCCCTCCACTTAACCTCAGATAAGGAGCACTGTGTGCCATAATTTTTAGTCTCCTTCCACCCTTGTGTTTCATCACAAGACAGTTATCCATATCATTTTTTTCCTACTCTTTTATTATTTTTCACTCAATGAAACATAATTGAAATTCTGTATGTCAAATAAACTCATTTTTAAATGTACATAATGCATACTTTGCAATTTTTATCCAGTTCCATCTTGAAATCTGTGCCTTGAAAAAGTGCCCTGTATGAGAATATAAGAGAAAAGACAAAGGGGAAGGGTTCTAGATACTAAACATTACCATAACCTTCTTTGTCAAAATAACATGATATAGGCATTAGAATAGATGATAGAAAATAATATATCTAACTATTGTAGGTGGTTATGTAACTTTAAAAATAATAAAACTAGCAATCAGTTCAAGGGAAAGTATTGGTTACTAAATGGCATTGATATAGTGGACATTTAACTGAAAGTAAATGAAGTTGGGTGTTTACTTCACGCCATAGGTCTAAAGTGAGAAAGTGGAATCTTCTGGTGGAACATAACTGTGTTAAGCAAAGCAGAAAATAATTTGTTATAAGCAAAATTCAAATAAAATTGACTATGAATAAAGACTTTCTAAAAAAATTTATGTACAAAAACACTCAGTAAAAGCTATGTACAAATGATAGAGTAGGGGAAAGTATTTGTATCACATCTGAGTAAAGGTCAGCATCCTTAAGATACAAGGGACTTTCAGATGAGATCGGGCATGACCACATTAATAAGGCCATAGAACTTTCATACACCAATTTTTAAGATAAAGATAAACTAAAGAAAGAATGTGAACAAGCAATTCACAGGTGTTTGTTAGGTATCTGCATTTTTTCATCAGTAGATGGTGTTCTGACTAGTAGTCAAAAAAACACATTTAAAAGATAACATTTTTCCTAATTCTTTGTATTGGCAATAATTAAGAACTTTTTTTTTTCCTCCAGAATATGTGATGTGTTGCTCAGAACTAAAACTAATTGCTGATAGCATCTTACGGTACAGAATAGAACAGAACTCTTTCCTCCTTGGTATTTCTTTCTTTCTTTCTTTCTTTTTTTTTTAAATTTTATTTAAAAGGAAAAAGAGAGAAAACAAAACAAAACAAAGCGGTGTAAGGGTACAAGTAATACAGAACTACAAAAAACAAAACAAAACAAAACAGTAAGAAATCACCAGCTAATAGATTACATATTATCATCTTAGAGATAGTTGCTCAAGTCACAGTATCAAAGCATACAAAGTGGACATTCAAACAGTGAGACTGCAAACAGTTGTGTTCAATGATCCAACCAAAAACATTAATATGGTCAGCTATTTAACACCCCTAAACACACTTGCTGTTGTATCTTTTAGAGCACTTTTTTTCCTTCTCTTTTTTACAACAAAATTTACACATTTTGGGTTTTATTACTTCTTAGTTCTTATTACTTTTGGGGGGGGAGAGAATAAAGTCAAATACGGCAAAACAAAGCTGTCAGTCAAAACCAAGGATAGACATAGCACATGATGTAAAACAGAGTACAAGGTTATCAACAATGGTTACCATAATATCTCTTGTTTCCTTAAAAAGAATTGTCTATCTCATTAGGTATTATAAAGTTGAACAAAACTGTAGAGAACAAGACCAATAAAACTTAAGCATTGTAAACATTACAGGACTTCCAAAGGAGACAATAGTCAAACCAGAATGGGCATCTTAGTGAATCTTATTGCCTTCAAAGTAGTTAACTATACCCTCAAACTTGATACTATCATACAGAAGGGAACAGAGTCTAATCAGTCAAAACAAGATAGTGGGAGTATTACTTAATGAAATTTAAGGTTGAGTTTAGATTTTTGAGAATCATACCCAGATTTATTTACTAAGCAAGTTCTGTCGTCTTCCTACAAATCCATCTCAGCCTTTCCAATCTATTTAGAAAACGTACCTAGAGTTCTTTATCAGATTCTTTCTTCTCTTGTCTTACATTGAAATGGTACCCTATATGCTAACTTCTCAATTGTTAAAATTGTTGTATATCAGCAGGAAGCTGAGTGTTATACTTGTGTGCTTTAGAGGGCCTGTCATGGGCTTAGAGAACTGAAAACGGGGCGTGCAGTAGCACTTACACGTTGATAATCTTGGTGAGCAAAATAACTACCCAGAAATTTTTGGAGTGTTTTATTACTACATGGGTAATATTGAGTCAGAGGGAAAATGCAGTGGTACCTCAATTCACAAACTTTGTTCTGTGAATCTGGGGAAAGTGGCCACCTTTGTGTTTGTGCAAAAAATGATGGCTGCATTTGTGTTTGTCATGCATTGCAGAATTCAAGAAACAAAAACAAAATTCTGCCAAGTATTTTTTGCAAACCAGATTATTTGTAAATAAAAGTGAGGTAACACTGTAAATGTTTTCAAATATATGAAGCAAGAAACATTATGATTGTTCATGGAAGAATTAAAAGTACTCATTACTCTCCAAACTTTTGGTGGTGAGATGAATTACTATAAAGCATAAGAAGCTCTTCATGGATTTACTTTTTGCAGACTTCTGAGCTGGATTAGGAGCTCGGAATACAAGTTCAAGTTTAACAAAAGTTCTACAGTTAAAAATTCTACAGGTTGGGCTGGGGCTTTAGCTCAGAGGCCTAAGCACCTGCCTGGCAAATTTAAGATCGTGAATTTGATCCCCAGTACCCGCCCCCCCCAACAAAAAAGAAAAAAGGAAAAAAAAAGTAGTTTTACAGGTAAAGAACACAATTTCTAGGTTTGTTTTCATTCCTATCATATTAATCCTTGCAATTTTTCCCCTTATTCCAAATCAACTTTGAAAAAACAGAGGGTTATGAGGGAAACAGGAGAGACTTTTTTGAAAAAAAAGAAGAGTATGAGGGAAGTAGGGGAGACTGAGGTCATCTGGACCCTGAATGTGTTGATGGTGAGTGGGCTGTGATGTTGGGAGGTATTTTCACTTCTTATTTGAGTACTTACTCCAAAAGTGGTGGAAGATACTGTCTTAAGCAAAATGGAAAATGATGTGTCATAAGCACAATTTAAACAAAATTGACACGGATTTGTAATTCCAATGTTTAATCACAGTTTAAACACGGAATGGACAAATAATATTCCTATCATAGAATGTCATGTTTTCCATAGTGTAAACTGACATATTATTGCTACATTCGACAACATGGATAAATCTCATAAACACCCTTGAAACAAGTAGAATACAAAAGAATCAATACAGCATAATTGCATTTTTAGAAAGTTTTGCAAAAGGTAAATCTATAGGTGTAGCAGTCAAGATAGTGACAACTCTTAAAAAAAGGTGGAGTAATGGTTGAATGTTGCAGTCAGGCTTTTGGTGTATTAATGTTCTGTTTCTAAATATGGGAGTAGTAAGAGTTCAAGCTGTACTGTTTATGTGCATCATGTGAGAGAGATCTTTTTTATTGTTTACAGATAAGAAGTTGTAATGTACAAAAATATATTTGGAAAATTTTTGTTTTGAGCCT